CCCCCATCCTAGATACTTGCTATATACCCATTGTTCCCTATCTTGTTAAATGATACTACTATTCATCCAGGTGCTCAAGACAAATGTTTAGGCATTACTCATGTATTCTTTTCCCCTCATATCACAACCAAGCATAAGCAACTCCTGTAAATTCTATACTCAAATTGTATCCCAATTTCACCATTTATCATTACTTTTACCCTTTACTACCCTAATTCAACCAACCATCAGAATAAGTTCAGTGGTCTTCAAAATAAAACATATATAAGTGCTGTAGTTTGGATAATGGTTTGTATTTCCCCAAAGGTTATGTATTAGAGGTGTAGTCCCCAGGGTGGCAGTATAGGGTGGTGGTCGAACCTTTAAGAGGTGGGTCTTGTGAGAGGGCCTTAGGTCATTGGGGGGAGTACTCTCTAGAGGCAGATTTCCTGCAACCTCTTGAATTTTCAGGATTTTTTTGGGCGGGGGGCACGGGGGATTGAAGTATTTCTTGGGTGCCCCTACCACTGAGCTTCATCCACAGCCCTTTTGTAACTTCTTATTTAGAGATAGGGTCTCACTAAATTGCTGAGGCTAGTCTTGAACTTGTGATTTTCCTGCCCAGTCTCCCAAGTTGCTTGGATTACAGGCATGTGCAATTGTACCACCTAAGAAGAGCATTCTTATAAAAAAGTGCAAACTAGGCTGGGGATATAGCTTAGTTGGTAGAGTGCTGCCTAGCATGCTCAAGGCCCTGGGTTCAATCACCAGCACTACAGGAAAAAAAAAAAAGAAAGAAAATCTAGCCCCAGACAGCCTCTGTGCTCCTGCTAAAATGAATCACTTGCTTTCTCCTGCCACAGACTGCACCACTGCTATCCATGCTATGGGATAATGCATCCCAAGGGCCTGTGCTGTGCCATTTGGACTTTCAGCCCCACAAACTGGGCTAAATAAAACTATTTTTTTTTCACAAGCAGCCTATGTCAAGTGTTTTGTTTCGTTAACAAAACACTAATACAACAACCAAGCCAGAGCTGGGATTATAGCTCAGTGGTAGAGTGCTGGCCTAGCATGTGTGAAGGCACTGGGTTCAATCCTCAAACCACATAAAAATAAATAAATAAATAGATAAATAAATAAATGTATTGTGTTCATCGCCAACCTAAAAAAAGTTTTTTTTAAAAAAAATTGCTTTTCTCTGAAAGTTGAAATGCCTAATTTCAAAGTAAACAGCAATCATTTCACTGTAGTAGCCAGACTCATTTGCCTATGACCCTATGTATTACTTAAGGATGGAATCTCAAGAACTTTCTCTTGCTTCCACACACCCCTACTTACTAGAATCTTGTCTTGGGTGCTCCTTCCAGATCTTCCATGACCTAGGGAGGGGGGATAAAGTTTGTCTGGAACTTTCTCTCAGGGACTCAAATTCTTGTTCTCCTGACTGGGCAATTTTCTTAAAGCTGGGCCCTAATTGAAATGGTAGAATCAAAAGTGCAAGTAAGAGGGCTGGGGATATAGCTCAGTTGGTGGAGTGCTTGCCTTGCATGCACATAGGCCCTGGGTTCAATCCCAGCACCAAAAAAAAAAAAAAAAAAAAAAAGTGCAAGCAAGCTGGACAAAGTCTCGCACACCTGTGATCCTGGGGAAGCTGACCCAGAAGAATTGCAAGTTCAAAGCCAGCCTCTACAAAGGCTAGGTTCTAAGCAACTCAGACCCGGTTTCTATATAAAATACAAAAGATGGCTGGGGATGTGGCTCAGTGGTTAAATGCTCCTGAGTTCAAACCCAGGTTACCATCCCTCCTTTCCCCCCAAAAGTGCAAACATCAGAGGTACACCAGAGCTCGGACTACCAAATTACCAACTGGTCTGGTCTGGTGCAAAAGAGAAACTTCACACAAGTAGAACATAATTACCCCACTGGGGTACAGGAGAGAGGGCATATAAAAGGAACTCTGAGCCTGCCCCAGCGAAGGATGGGGTGGAAGAAAAGTTAGATTGGGAGACAACTAGCCACACACAGAGATACATACATTGGCCCTAATGGCAAGCCCAGAAATGAAGAACCTTCGCAGACTTTTGCAGACGACTTCTGGAACAAGAACCCAGTGAACGGTCATCCCCCTCCTGTGTGTGTGTGTGTGTGTGTGTGTGTGTGTGTGTGTGTGTAAATAAATAAACCGCCAGTTTCGCTCACATACTCTTGACCTCCGCGCCACACATCCAAAATTTGTCAAAACAACCCACAATCGAGGCGTGTGATTTAAAATTCAGAAGCTCAGTGTGCTGACAGAATCCTTCGCCCCTTGGTGCTCAAACATAGGGTTGCAGCAAGCACACCCAAGCGTTGAATCACAGTCACCGGTTCGCCGAGTCACACCGGTTTCTCAAAAAGCAAGTGCTTAGGATTTTGCACAGTATCCGGCACGTGCAGGGTTGACAGTGGCCACCTGTAGGCGCAAGCGCGAAGAGGTGGTGGGCGCAGCTCAGTCTGGGAAATGTAGTTTAGTCAAAGAAGGCCGCGGCGCAAAGCATTCTGGAGCTCGTGGTCCATGAGGCATTCGCAGAAAGCTAGTTCAGATGGCGCAGAGCTCAGTCTAGCCTGGGTCCTCTTCCGGCTCCACCTCTCGGAGGATTCTGGGCAATGACGTCGTCGGTCCGGGTGGTGGGGTTGGTTTCCATAGCCCGCGGCGCCGGGAGGTGAGTTGGGCTCTGCCCCAGGTCAAGAGAGGGGGCTGGGCTCAGTGTGTGCGGCAGGGGACGGGGGTGGGAACTCCGCAGGCGCAGCTGGAGAGGTTGTGTGTCAATGTCACTGTGTACAACTATGTGACAGGCTGCGGGTGTGACGCTGTTATCTCGTGTGTCACGGTATGTGTGCGTGCCTGTGTGGCTTGTGTATGACTGTGACCATCTGTCTCTTCGGGGAAAAACTATGTGTATTTGTGTGTGACTGTCCCTACAGGTGTAGCTGTGTGTTACTGTGAATGGGTTTGTGGGAGACCGAGGTATGACATTGTGTGTCTGTGAATATGTTTGACCACCTGTCTCTGGATACACCTGTGTTGGAATGTTTGTGACAGCAGATGTAATTTTGTGACATGCCCATCAGTTTGTGAAGTTTTAATTTTATATGAGTAATTGTGACAAGATTATGACCTTGAGTGGTGTGCCACTGTGACTGTGTAACTGTCTCTCTGTTGTGTGTGACCACCTATCTTTGTGCTAATATGGCTGTGTGTGATTATGGGTGTGACTGTGAGACTCTGTGTATGTGTATGATTGGGTGAGAATTTGAACGTGTATGTGAGATGGTGGGCTTGATTGTCCAGGACCTAGTTTGTGATTGTGAGGAACAGAAAAATTAAAATTACTTAAGTTCACACAGTTAATAAGTGACAACACTTATTAACTGACTCAAACCACAGTTAATAAATGATAGAACTAGGACTCAAAACTGAGCAGTTTGGATGAAGAGTTCTTGCTTTTAATGAATAAACTGATTTTTCACACATTGTAAGAATGAATAATGGGAGCTCTGGATTCTGAGAGTGGTGGAGATGATTATCTCTGGTTTTCTACTGTGAACCATTGAAACGTGGATACATAATCTGGTTTGCTTCTTTACACAGGACACAACCTAAAGACATTGTGTTGAGACCTTCCACAAATTGGCTACTTTTAGGGGAGAAAAGCCCAATCTGAAAGCCCAATCATCTTCCACTTAGGTCATTGGGTCCTTGTCAAAACTTCCATGTTTGGTGCTAAGAGAGGCTGATGTGGGCTCTTTTTCTGATGTACCAAGTGAGCTGGTTTTGGTTTTGATTTTCTCAGTTAATAAAAAAAAAGTTCTCTTTTCATTTCCAAATGGGAGTATAAAATCTAAGCAGGAGCAAGGGTGACACTTCTCTGTGTCATATGTTGGCTCATGCAATCTTTTTTATTTTCATTTGTTATTTTTAGATATACATGACAGTAGGGTGTATTTTGACATACATACATGGAGTATAATTTATTCTAATTAGGAATAAATTATTATTATTATTTTTTATTTTAACATTTATTTATTTATTTTTTAGTTTTCGGTGGACATAACATCTTTGTTTGTATGTGGTGCTGAGGATCGAACCTGGGCAGCACGCATGCCAGGCAAGCGCGCTACTGCTTGAGTCACATCCCCAGCCCAAATTATTATTATTTATAAATTATTCCAATTTATTCTAATTCTCATTCTTGTGGGTGTACATGATGTGGAATATCACTGGTCATGTATGAACATAGGAACATCTATGAACATAGGAAAGTTATGTTGGATTCATTCTGCTTCATGCAATCTTGACATTGAGGAAAGAAAGATTTGGAAAGATGGATTAACTTGCCCAAGTTCAAACTGCCAGTGAGAGAAGGCGTGAAAAGTCAACCTGGGCCTGGGAACTATATAAAACCCCAGTCTTTCCATTGCCCTTCTTGCAAAGACTGATGGCCCACTTCAAACTTAGAAACATATTGCCCAAGGGATACTCAGTTTTCTGGATAAAAAAGAAATCCAAAAACTTAAAAGAAATTTCTTTTATGTAGATGCTACTTAAGGCTTTTGCTTTCAGATGCCAAGCAGAATATATTGCTTCTCCTCTCAGCTTGCAGAAGCTTTTGTGGAATATTCCAAGCTCCCCAGAGCTGGCTAGTACAGCATAGCCCAGAATCTGGGGGTAGTGAATCCTAAATTTTAGGTCAATTGGGAAGTTTCCCATTTTCAAAAAGAAAAAAAAATGTTGGCTCTGAGAGGACAAGCAGGTTATTTTGAGTTACAGTTTGTTGTTGGTTTGGAATTATAGTTTGGCAATTTTTTCCTCAGGCTGCTTTTCTGTGGAGTAATAGATAACATCTGTCATCTCTGAAGATGCTGCTCTAAGGAACAAATGGCATTGGTTCTTCAGGTTTTTGTTGACTATATTCTATTCAGACATTGTGGATTCTTGAAAGGTCAGTTTTTGAATCTCACTTCAGTTGGATTCATGACTTTCAGTTGGTTGTTTTGACTTAAGTTCACTTATCAGTAAAATGGAAATAATAGTATCTACTTTTGCAGTCTTTTAAGTGTTGCACAAGATAATGGCGTGGATAGCATGCATAATATCACTGTATATTACAGGAAGCACAGCAAGATTTATTTCTTCACTTATCCAGTATTTTTGAGTACCTACAATGGTTCAGTGAACCAAACAAATCCTCTCTCTCTTGGATCTTACAATCTTGTGTGAAAAGGCAAACAATAAACAGAATGTATGTGACATTTTCAATGGTGATAAATGCTAAGAAGAAAAATAAATCACGATAAGGAAAAAGAGTGACTGGAATAGTGTTCTCTTCAGATAGAATTTTCAGGGAACTTCCTCTGATGAAGTAACAGTTGAACACAGGAATAAAGAGAAAGAGAAAGCCTTGCTGATTTTTGGGAGGAGAGTATTCCAGGAAAAAGGAAAAGCAAAGGTAACAGCTGTGAAGGTGGAGTGTCCATAGCATTGGAGTAACAATTAGGAGACCTGTGTACCTGAAGAGAAGGGAGCAAAAGGAGAAGGATAAGAAATGAGGTCAGATGAGCAGCCAGGGGCCAAGTCAAAACCCACCTTGTTGGCCCTGGGATAGACTACAGATTTTGTTGAGTTGGGTTTTATGTCATTTGGGGTTAAATTCAGCATTGGCCTTTTCCTCTGATCTTGGAAAGCATGATTCTTGTTCATATAAAAAGGATATGGGGATTGTGTAGCATTCCCCAACTTGCCAGGCCCTTGGCTATTGATCTGCTCTTTGCTATGGTAAACATTGCATAACTCACGTGTTATGATTTTTCACATGGATTAATGTGGACACTTAAGGGGTAAAAAATTGAAGAAATAGGGGCTGGGATTGTGGCTCAGCGATAGAGCGCTTGCCTAGCACTGGCGGGATCCGGGTTCGATCCTCAGCACCACATAAAAATAAAGGCATTGTGTTGTGTCTATCTACACCTAAAAAATAAATATAAAAAAATTTTAAAAAGAAATTGAAGAAATAAACAAGGGTCTTCTTTCCATTACTCTTCAAAATGTATTTTTGACATATCAGTATAAGTCCTGCCCATCAGAAAAGCATTAATGATGGACAGTTTCACAGAAATTTTTATCTCATATTTCTTTGTCAGCCCTGTGTTTCTAATCCCAGCAAGGAACTTGGGCAAGTGTTTTAAAACTTGAAGAAGGCCAGGTGTGGTGGCAATGCTTGTAATCCCACTGGCTTGGGAGGCTGAGAAAGGAGGATTGAAAATTCAAAGCTAGCTTCAGCAAAAGTGAGGCACTAAGCAATTCAGTGAGACCCTGTCTCTAAATAAAATATAAAATAGGGCTGGGGATGTGGCTCACTGGTTGAGTGCCCCTGGGTTCAATCCCTGGTACCCACATATACACACAAAAAGTTGAAGAAATGTGACATTATTTGCTTGTTTTTTAAAGATAAAATGGGTTATTGTAAAAGTTAGGTTTATTTATTTTAAAATGTTTTTTTAGTTGTTGATGGACCTTTATTTACTTATTTTATTTATATGCAGTGCTGAGAATCAAACCCATTGCTTCACACATGCTAGGCAAGCATTCTACCACCAAGCCACAACTCCAGCCCTAAATTTATTTATTGTGTAAACTTGGGTCCAATATGCCATTTTTAGCCAGATTATTAATAATCATTGGTAAGTTGGATAGTATTAGAAAATGCTTTTTCCACAGGATAGTTAATTTAGGTCAGTCATGTTGGTAATGTTGTCCATTAACCATTTATGCATTATTAATAAAATTACAAGAATAAAATCATTTAAAAGAAGGATATAGGGACCATCAAAGGGCAATAATTCTATCTTTGTGGGTCTTATATAGTAAAGTAGAACTGGGATATCATTTTTCTTAACTCTCCCTTCTTAGGACTTTGTTCTTAATCAAAAAAGCAAACTGAAGAAGAAAAGAGGAAATGGCTGTTGGACTTTGTAAAGTCATGTCCCAGGTAAGTTAATATTTTCAGAAATTTCACCTCCTTTTTCAGAACTTTGAGGCCACAGGGAAAAATCACAAATTTCCCAGGGCATCTTCATCAGTTTTCTCTGCCATTTATTTACCTAATCCATCTACCAAACTTTTAATATCTTTTTTATGTGTGATGAATCTGAACTATATTCTTTAGACAGACTGTGATTTATTGAGTTGGGGATGAGTGCTCTATTAAACAAGGAGATCAAAGATAGCCTCTCTGAGAGGCAGAGAAAAACTACAGCAAAGCAAAACTTCAGTGAAAGTAGAGAGTAAGTTTGTAGAAATTAGGGTAGCAAGAATAGCAAGGACTGGGCTGGGGCTGTGTAGCTCAGTGATAGAGCATCTGCCTCACATGTGTGAGGCACTGGGTTTGATCCTTAGTGTCACATAAAAAAATAAAGATTAAAAAAAGAATAGCAAGGACCAAGTTATTTTGGTGGGAGCATGTTTGGTTTGATCCAGCAATAGCACTGAGCCAGTGTCCTGGGGGTGGGAGGGAGTCAGCACTATGAGGTCACAGGTGTAACTAGGGGCCAGATTCTGTAGGCAATTGAATTTCATTAGAACTTTGAGTTTTGTTCTAAATGTGAAGGAGAGCCATTGGAGCTTGTGATATGATTTGATTTGATGTTTTAAAATAAATAGAAAGCATGGGAAATAGGGTAAAAGCAGGTGATAACAATCTGAACCCTGTGGGGAGCATTAGAGCTGGAGAAATTCTGTGTATGTATTGAAGATAGAAAATGGAATTTGATCCAGGATTGGTTGTGGAGTGTAAGAAGAAAAAAGAAGTCAAGGATGACTACAAAAATTTTTGGCTGGGTAGCTACACAAATAGTCATCCCATTTACTCAGAAATACATGATGGAGACTCTTGGATACATGATGGAGACCAAAGGGAATGTTGACTATATGTCTGCAGTTCAGGACTAGAGATGTGATTTTAAAGCCATGGGACAAGATAAAATTATTTTGAAGGCAAGGTTCTGGCAAATGTAGGTAGGAAAGAGATCCAAAGACCAAGTTTGGGACATTTTAACAAGTCAAGAAGAGGAGGAATCAGCAAGAGATTGAAAAGAACCGAGTGTTGTGGAATATGCCTATAGCTCTAGCTACTTAGGAGGCTGAGGTGGGAGGATTACTTGAGTCCAGAAGTTCAAGATCAGAGAGAGAGGGAGGCTTGGGAAGAGAGAAGGACTGATGAAGGACAACCAGAATGTGTGGGTCCTAGAAGCCAAGAATAGAAAATGTTTAAAAAGAGAATGATCAGCCAAGTTAAATTCTTCTGAGAGAGTGACATTGTTTGCTTGTTTTTTAAAATAAGTGACTGATTCATTTGACAAGAACTACTTCATAGAGCAGTTGGGATAAAAGCATTATTGCAATGGGTTCAAGAGATAATGAAAGGGAAGGAAAAATGGAGAACGTGAGTCTGGACCTATGATAATGTAGCCAGTGGCCACATATGACTACTCCAAATTAAGATGTGCTGTAATTTTAAAATATATGTCATAATTTGAAGATTTAGTACAAAAAGAATAAGGTCCTATTAATAATTTTCTGTATCAATTATATAATTTACATCTGAAATATCTTTAATTATATCTTAATAACATTTTAAATACATCGCTTAAATGAAAAGTATTATTAAGTTGACTTAATTTATTTCTGTTTACTTTTTAAAATATGATTACTAGAAAATCTAGAATTACATATGTGGCTCACATATTTCTTTTGGATATCCCTGGTCTAGACAACTCTTTGGAAGAGTTGTTATTATTATTATTATTTGTAGGTGAACACATACCTTTATTTTATTTTAATGTGATTCTGAGGATCAAATTCAGTGCCTTACATGTGTGAGGCAAGCACTCCACGACTGAGCTACAACCGCAGCCCCTGGAAAAGTTTTGTTATTAAGTAGAATAGAGAGGGCTGGGGTTATGGCTCAGCGGTAGAGTGCTTGCCTCGAACATGCGAGGCTCTGGGTTTGATCCTCAGCACCATATAAACATAAATAAATAAAATAAAGATGTTTTGTTCAACTACAACTAAAAAAATAAATATTTAAAAAAAAGGAATAGAGAAATGGAACAATAATTAGAGTGAGATCATGGAAGGGAATTTACTTATTTATATATTTCTTTGTAAAATGGAAGATATTGCACCAGATTGTATATTGATAGGAATGATCCAGTAAAGTGAGAAAAGTTGGTAATACAAGAAAAAAAAGGTGTGGACAAGTGAAGGATTGGCTGTATATAGAAGCTGGAGTTTATCCATAACAAGAGAAAAGACAGAGTGTATACAGTATAGATAGATTGCCAAGTACATAGGGAGGCAGGAGGATCAAGTTCAAAGTGAGAACAAGGGAGAAGTTGGTGGCTTGAGAAAGAAACAGATGGTATGAAATAGTTATCAGGATAACAGGAGAGTGAATATTTAGGAAAGTATAGTAGAGTAGTCTTAGAGTTTGAGGAATCTCTGTTCTGGAGATCAAAATGTTCATCAATCAGGATTCTAGCAAGAAACTCAAAAGGACAATTTATAAGGTATTATCAGGGTATAGAGAAACTAAAAAGGGTAGCACTGTATCCTGGGACTCATTAAAGCAGAAAATTGGATGGAGAAGCCTCCTGATAGGTACTGTGAGCTTTGAATGAAGAACAAAGATCACCTAGGATGATAGGACCCCACTCTAGATCTACAAAATCAGAAATTCAGGGAATGGGTCTAGTAATCTGGCTTTTAATAAGTCCTCCAATGATCCTGGAGTAAATATATAACCCTGTTCACTTTCCCTCACATCTCTTTCAAGCACCTGAACACAGCTGAAAATAGCAGGGGTCAAGGGAGCTTATTTGATACTGTCAATGTAGGTCAGCCTCCCAGCCACAGAAGAAAGAGCAGCACATGGAAATTACACCACACTATCTAGTTGTATAATTTTATTTCTCCAGATACAATTATCTCTATTTACATATTTGAAATTTCATTATTTTGGGGAGAAATGAAAACACATTATATAGACTGGAACCTCATCATTTTTAAGCATTGTGTATTCCTTCATACAGAAATAGAAAATTTCACTGTTTTTTTCACTGAGTGAGAAATAGTTTTTTCAATATGATAAGTTTTGTAATGGACACTGGATATCTGTCAGTTAAAACAGACTTCCCTTCATGCAGCTTAGAATTCAGTGACTACACTCTATTTTTGGACATGTAAATTGTTTCTATGTTTTTTTGTATAATCTTCTAAAGAAAAATCTTATCTAAATTTCTTTACTTATTCTTCATTATTTCTTCAGGATATATTTCTGGAAATTTTCCTTATTTAAAGAGTCTAAATTCAGATCATACTCTTTTGTTAAAGTACAATTCAAGGCCTTCCTTTACTACTCTGCTATGCCTAATATCCCAGTTTGGGGAATATAAAGGAATCTTCCACATAATAAATTTTTTATAACTTAGTATGTACAACTTACAACTTAGCCCTTGTTCATATACTTATACTTTTTCATGTTATAAGCTAATTTTCTTGTATGTGTATATATGTCTTTTTCACAAAAGTGTAGAAATTTCAAGTGGTGAATCTCTTTCAATATTTCTCTTCCTTCAAAATATTTTACAAACCTGAACATATACTTCTTTTCTTTTCTTTTTCTTTTCTTTTTTTGTACCAGGGATTAAACTCAAAGATGCTTAACTACTGAGCTACATCCCTAGTTCTTTATTTTTTATTTTGAGACATGGTCTCACTAAGTTGCTTAGAGCCTGTCTAAGTTGCTGATGCTGGTTTCCAACTTGTGGTCCTCCTGCCTCAGCCTCCTGAGCTGCTGGGATCAGAGGCATGTACCACTGCACCTGGCACATGTAATTATTTTCTAATAAAATTATTTTCCTGGATTATTTAGAGCTTTAAACTCTGGATGAATTTATCTTTTTTACTGGGACCATATGGGAATCTAAGCACTTGGTGAATAAGAATTTATTTTTATTTCAGGGGTTGGTGACTTTCAAAGATGTGGCTCTAGACTTTTCCCAAGAGGAATGGGAATGGTTGGACCCATCTCAGAAGGATTTATACAGAGAAGTCATGTTTGAAAACTACAGGAATTTGGTATGGCTTGGTAAGGATGTTTCTCCCTGATAAATCCAAAATTTCCTTCTGAGATGTTTTTATTTCCTCAATCAATAGTATCTAGGACATTTTGAAGATACTTGAATTTCTACCTTCTGTTTCCAGGAAGTGATTGGAAATAGTTTTATAGAGTTGGAAATGAGTAGTTCCCTTTGCTATAGAATGGTGGTTTGAAACAGCAACATCAGCATGCCCTGGGAATTTGTTAAATACAAATTATAGGACCCCACTCTAGATCTACAAAATCAGAAATTCAGGGACTGTGTCTAGTAATCTGACTTTTAATAAGTCCTCCAATGATCCTGATGCCTGTCAAAGTTCCATAGCCAATGTTGTTTCTGATTCAGTAGGTCTGAGTTGGGGCCTGAGAATTTGCATTTCAAATTAGTGCCGAGGTGATGGCTACTTCTATTGTAGAGCTTTGAGAGCCACTGCTATGGAATAGCTTCACCTTCCTCATCCTATGTACAAGCACCATTCCATTCTTTGACCCTTGAAGGTCATTTTTTGCCTGATGATCAAGAAATTGGGTCTGGGACCTGGAACAACTGCAGCATGTTGATTTGTCTGTCTCTGGCTTTCATTTTTCTTACCCTATAAATAGGCCTCTCCATTTCTAAGCCCAACATGATCTCCTTATTGGAGCAAGGAAAGGAACCTTGGATGGTGGAAAGAAAGATGTCACATGATCAGTGTGCAGGTGAGTGACAGATAACTGGGCAGGGAAGGCCATTGTAAGGTTCCTACACAAGTGGTCCTGAGGAGGCTTCCCTGAACTTCAGGTGGCAAGGACACCTCTTTAGCATGTGCTCCCTAGAAACCTCAACTTCACCTTGGGGTTTTTCCTTCCAATTTTATCACATTTTATTTTCTAGTCTTCTACCTATACCCTAAATCTTAATCCTTTCCGTTTCTTTTTCTCTATTGTGGTCAGAATTGCATTCTTTTCTAGATTTCCTTTTTTTGACCTTTTACTTTTGTCAAAAATGTTATTAAAGGGGCTGGGGATGTGGCTCAAGCAGTAGCGCGCTTGCCTGGCATGCGTGCGGCCCGGGTTCGATCCTCAGCACCACATGCAAACAAAGATATTGTGTCCACCGATAACTGAAAAATAAATATTTAAAAATTCTCTCTCTCTCTCTCTCTAAAAAAAAAATGTTATTAAAGATATACATGCACGCTCTTTAGGAAAAAACCCAGTAGTTTGACAAAGCTAGTTTTCTTTAAAAAAAGGAATTCATTTACTCTGCTTTCCAGTTGCTGTCTCTGTAGAGGGATCTACTTTCTTTTATAACTTCTTTTGGTGTTTCCTTCATGTCTCTAAAAATATGTTTAATATTGCTATTTCCTGATTTTTTTTCAGATTTAATCCTTATCCAATACCTTTTTACTGAGAAAATAAAGATTTAGCACTTTCTTATTCTGAACCCAACACATGTACAGATATTAATATCAACCCTCCTATCTTATTGATATCATAATTTTGATTGACTCATTATTCAGTGTTTACATTGTTAATGGGTATTTATTTATTTAATGCTAGTCATAGACAAATTGTACACATATCAATATTGCTTTTTCTTAAAAACTTTTTGTTTTCCCCAGAGTTAATAATGATCTGGAGATTTTGTTTTATCTTCTGTTTAACTTCATATATTTCAATTCCCAATTCCCTTCAATTTCTAAAACTCTCGAGATACTCAGACACATTAGGTAACCTGTCAGTTTCATCTTGGAAAAATCTCTCCTGGAGTCTTAAGAGATGCTTCACTCTAGACGAATGGTCCATTACATCTACTTGTACTCAATTTGGATTTATCTGATATTTTCTTATGATTAGGTCGAGTATGCATATTTTGAAAGAATACCACAGAAATAATATTGTGTCCCTCAATACATCATATCAAAGAATTTATAATGTTGATGTGCCTTATTATCTACGATACTTATTTGCTTGCCTAGTGAAGGTGGTGTCTACTTGTTTTTTCCATTATAAAGTTCTTATTTTTCTATTAATAATTAATAACTATCTTGTGGGAAATATTTTGAGACTATTCAACTTCTCATAAAACTTTTGCTTATTGATTTTAGCACCACAGGAATATGTCTATTCTTATATATCTGTTTACACACATATAAAAAATAGGATCATTCTATGTGGAAGAACTGTTTCTTCTCCCCCATTTACTTATGCATTCAATTATATTTGTAGATTTATGGATTTTTTCTATGAAATAAAGACTTCATAGAATTTAAAGAGATTCATCTTTATATTGCTAGATTTATGGATTTTTTCCTATGGAGTTAAATCCAATGAATCATTATTTTGTTGCTCAGTTTGTTCCAGTTTTGGCCATCAGAATCTCCATGTTAGTTCCTTTGAGCTTTTCACATGTTCCCCTCCATTTTTTGAGCATTTCCTTCCTTCTGGCACTACAGAGTATCCCAGGTTCATCTTGTTTTCCTTGCCCCAGCCTTGAATCTGTCACTTCTCCAAGAAACCTGGTTCTTTTTGTTGGGAAATGGTGTTTAGAAACCAAAATCTGGATTCTAGATGTGCTCATTGTTGTCAGGCCATCACAGCAGATAGAGATAGGAAATAAATGTATGTATATACACAAACTTCTATTTTTATTTCTGCCTCTGTCTCTTTATATATTAAAACTCTTCATTTATATTAGTAATTAGATTCTAGTGTAACTCCAAGCTGGGGTAATTGTAGCCTTCCTCTTTTACTTATTTGTAATTTCCTTTTCTGACAATGATAAACAATATATTTACTTACTTGCTCAATTTTAGTATACATGTGAAATATATATACTAATTTTTCTGGTTTATTCATCTGAGATATAAATTTACTCATTTGATTCAAACGTTTTAGTATATACATAAAATATATACCCTAAATTTTCTAACTTATTCATCTGTAAAATACAAATTTCCTAACTACATTCAAACTACAGATGTATGCATAGTTTCTTGTATCTTATTTGCAGCACATTTTTGGGGAATTAGGTTATTTGTCTTTATTTATTTGTAGAGCTTTTTAAAATATATTCTGAGTATTATTCATTTTTCTATAGAAAATGTGTTTGTTTTCTTTTCCCAGAATGTCTCTTGCCTTTTAACTTGTGATTTCTTTTCCAACATAGAAGTTTTTAATGTTAATGTCAGATCTTTTTCTTTATAGTTCGTACTTTGTAGCCTCATTTACTAAATCTTCCCCTAGTAACTAGGGTCATAAAAATATTCTCCTGTTTGGTTTTTTGCAGTACCAGAGATTGAACCCAGGGGTGCCGCACCTACCACTGAGCTACACTCCTAGCCTTTTTTATTTTTTATTTTAAGATAGGGCCTTGCTAAGTTGCTGTGGCTGGCCTTGAATTTGTGATCTTAGCCTCCCGAGTCACTGAGATTACAGGCCTGTGCCATCATACCCAGCTCAGCCCTTTATTCTTATTTTTTATTTTGAGACGGTCTTACTAATTTGTCTGGGCTGGCCTCAAGCTTGTGATGCATCTATCTCAGCTTCCCAAGTAGTAGGGATTACTGGCAGGCACCACTGTACCCCACTCTCTTGTATTGTTTTTAATAGTTTTAAGGTTTTGTTTTTTACTCTTAGGCCTATAATCTCTGTGGACTTTAATTTTTAAATATGGTGTGTGAATTAATTGACTAATGCATTTCTTCACTGATGATGATAATGCTGCCTTCATCTGCATGCCAAGTTCTTATATTTGTGTGATTCTTACATCTGCCCTCTGCTTTTCATTCCACTGTTTATTTCTAAACCAGTGCTACACTGTTTTCCTTACTATATAGCTTAATATCCCTTTAGTGTTCTACGTGGTTATCACTGGCATGTAGAGCAAATATTAATTTGCATGTATTCATCTCTATCTAGCCAGCTTGTTGTACTGTTTTATTCACTTCTCTGAATTTCTTAGAGTATGCTTATTGCTTTAACAAAGTCTTAGTGAATAAAAATGTAAAGATTTTTTGGGGGGGACATGTTATAATCCAGTATGCCATTATCTGGGACCTCTGCTGCATGCTGTCATTCAGACTGACATTCAGATCCCTTTCGTCTGTTGGGATCATTATGTCCTTGGAATCTTATACTGAAGCCAGCAAGGCAGAGAGGGAGGAAGAGAAAGAGAAAAAGGGCATGGGGCAGGGCCAAGGGCAGAGGGGAGATTAAGGCACACATACACACAAAAAGAGAAACGAGATAAAAATGAATGGATGTTGAGGGATCTCTCAGGACATTTTCAATGGGCCAACCTGGAATTGACATTTGTGATGCCTATCACTTCTGATTTGCCAAAACTTAGTCATATGGCTAAAAGAGAAGGCTGGCTGATGCAATTTTTGTGTACCTAGGAGGAAAAGGAAAAATATTTGCTACATGTTTTCCTTTCTAGTATTTTTATCTTCCTTTACTTTTTCTCCTTTTTAATTTGACTATATCAGTTTCCTTATCTGTGTCTTACAGGTGCAGTTTTTATTCTTTCTGACATTAAGGAATTGTTTCCATCTTAAATGTGTACACACATACACATATACACACACACATGTGTAAACATTTAAATAGCAAGGTATTTTCTATTTTTATATATTTCTAGCATCTTTGAGGTAATTAATTTTTCTCTAATGTTTTTTTTTCTTCTATAAAAATTTAAAGAGCCAGGTGCAGTGCTGCACACCTGTAATTCCAGTTACTTCGGAGGCTCAGGCAGGAGGACCAAAATTCAAGACCAGCTTTGGCAACTTAGGGGGGAGATCTAAGAAACATAGTGAGACCCTATTTCAGAACTAAATAATAAATAGGATGGGGATATAACTCAATGAAAAAGCACCCCAATTTTTTAATCCTTAGTACCAAATAAATAGAAAAAGACTTATAGAAGAGAAATTCTATAATAATTTATCACAATGTTTTTTTGTTGCCAAACTGTTCTTGCCTTTCTGAATTGCATATTTGATCATGTGGATTATTAAATTTAATATAAAGATTGAATTTTTAATATGTAAGAATTTTGGTGATTGATCTGGTATCAGAACAGTGAAATAAACTAGTGGAACAGTATAGAAAATATAGAGAGCATAAGAACAATGAGTAGATCAGTGAAACACTCAGGTTTATATGAGAATTTATAATAAGAACGGGTAGCTTTTCAAATCAGTGAGGCAAAGAGTTTCTTAAAAGTTATGAATAATATTTGTATAATACTAGATTTTAGAAAGTTGTTCCTAGAATGACATCAAAGCCAGCATCTATAATGGAAAAAATGAGAGCTTTAAGTTTACATAATTAAATTTTTTTATTAAAACACTGTAAATGTAGAGGACATAAAACAATAAAAAGTGATGAAAAGGGAAAATATTTACAAAGGCTTAATGCCCTAAATATATAAGTAACTTCTACAAATCACCTAGAAGATATATAGTTCAATTAAAATGTATGCAAAAAGACATCATAATATATATAAAAGATATATAAATTTGCATAAAAAGATACTCAATTTTATAATCAAAATTATAAGAACAGGGAGGTACTCTTTACTTGTGTAGGCAATGATTTTAAGATATTGTTAGCCTGTGGGTGGGTTTTGAGATGTGCTCTTTCTATACTGTTGATAAATTTTTTAGAAGGCAGTTTGAGAGAATATTAATATTTTCAATATGTACAGTTTAATT